GAAAGGGGACTGCGGCCACCAGCAGCAGCACGAGACTCCCGGAATCTATTAAACAACGCATGCACGTCCTCGTTGCTGTCTTCTCTCCCTACTTCGTTCTGCAGCAGCAGCAGCAGCAGCAGCAGCAGCAGCAGCAACAGCAGCAGCAGCAGCAGCAGAATGGTGATAGAAGCAGGTTACATGCTAACGGTGGATGCCAGCAGCAAGGAGACTGTTTGCAGCTAAAAGGAGACAGTCAGTCTCCTCGTGTTGTTGCTGCTGCTGCTGTTGCTGCTGCTGCTGCTGCTGCTGCTGCTGCTGCTGCTCACTGCATGCAAGAAAGCATCCTCCACAGCCCCAACGTCAACGAAGATGCAGACGTCTGTACACCGCAGCACCGTACCCTCCACCTCCTGCCCCACCTACACAGCCCCACACCACACACACACACAATGCATGCAACGCATGCAGCGCATGCAGCGCATGCAACGCATGCAGTGCATGCAGTGCATGCAGTGCATGCAGTGTATGCAATGCATGCAGTGCATGCAGTGCATGCAGTGTATGCAGAGCATGCAGTGTATGCAGTGCATGCAGTGTATGCGGAGCATGCAACGCATGCAATGCATGCAGAGCATGCAGTGCATGCAGAGCATGCAGTGCATGCAGAGCATGCAGTGCATGCAGAGCATGCAATGCATGCAGTGTATGCAGTGCATGCAATGCATGCAGTGTATGCAGTGCATTGCATGCATAGAGAAATAAAGAAAGAGAAGGAGAAAAGGAGACAGGGCGAGAGAAGAAAAGAAAGAAAGAAGAAAAAAAAAAANAAAAAAAAAAGGAAGAAAAAAAAAAAAAAAAAAAAAAAAAAAAAAAAAAAAAAAAAAAAAAAAAAAAAAAGAGAGACAGAGCGAGAGGTGTTGTCTCCTTTCTGACCCAAAAGGCTTCTAGGGGTTTTCTTGGGCTGTCTCCTTTTGTTGTTGCGGGAGAGGAGACAGTGGTGAGGCGCATCTGTCTCCTTTCTTTGTTTATTGATTTAATATAAAGAGACAATGTGTCTCCGACTCTTAATACATCTCCTGCATGCTTTATCCATCCATCAGGAGACAGTTTTTCTCCTCCTGCTGCTGCTGCTGCTGCTGCTGCTGCTGCTGCTGCTGCTGCTGCTGCTGCTGCTGCTGTTGGTGCTGCTGGTCTTGATCCTGTTTCTTCTCCTGCTGCTGCTCCTTCTTCTGCTGCTGCTGCTGCTCCTGCTGCTGCTGCTGGTGATAAAGAGGGGGAGACAGAAGAGGAGACAGGGGAGGAGACAGGGGAGGAGACAGCAGAAGCAGCAAGAAAGGCAGCACCAGCACGAAGAGCAGCAGATAGAAAATGCATATCTCGTACATGCAGCATACCCACGGTGTCTGTACACCCCACGTCTATGCGGCAGCCAAAAGGAAATACAGATATAACCTAAAAAAAAAAAATAAATAAAATAAATAAATAAATAAATAAATAAATAAATAAATAAATAAATAGATAAATAAATAAATAAAGATAGAGATGGATAGATAGAATGTAGATTCATGCAAGCAGATATTAAATGTTATAGAGACAGAAGGAGAAAGAAAACAGAAAAAAAAAAAAAGAAAAAGAGACAAAAAGGGAGGGAAAGAGAAAAGGAAAAGAAGGAGACAGAAGGAAAAGAGGAGACAGAGAAAGGAGACAAATAAAAAAAAGAAAGAGACATTAAATAGAGAGACAAAAAGAAAAGAAAAAGGAGACAGGTGAGAAGAAAAGGAGACAAAAGGGATGAGATAAAAGGAAAGGAGACAACAGAAGACAAAAGGAGACAAAAGGAGACAAAAGGAGACAAAAGGAGACAAAAAAAAGAAAAAAAGGAACAAAAGAAAGAAAAAAAAACAAAAGAAGAAAAACGGAGACAAAAGGAGAAAAAGGAGACAAAAGAAGAAAAAAGGAGACAAAAAAGGAGACAAAAAGGAGACAAAAATAGACAAAAGGAGAAAAAAAAACCAAAAAAAGAAAAAGGAGACAAAAGAAAGAGGAGACAAAATAAAGAAAAAAGAAAAAAAAAGAAAAAGGAGAGGAAAAAAAAAAAAGAAAAAAAAAGGAGACAAAATAAAAAAAAAGAAAAAGGAGACAAAATGAAAAGAAAAAAGAAAGAGAAAAAGGAGACAAAATTAAAAAAAAGAAAAAGGAGACAAAATAAAAAAAAAGAAAAAGGAGACAAAATAAAAAAAAAGAAAAAGGAGACAAAATAAAAAAGCAAAAAAAAAGAAAAAGGAGACAAAAAAGAGAAAAAAAAAGAAAAAGGAGACAAAATAAAAAAAAGAAAAAAAAAGGAGACAAAATAAAAAAAAGGAGACAAAATAAAAAAAAAGAAAAAGGAGACAAAATAAAAAAAAAAGAAAAAGGAGACAAAATAAAAAAAAGGAGACAAAATAAAAAAGAAGAAAAAGGAGACAAAAAAAAAGGAGACAAAATAAAAAAAAAGAAAAAGGAAACAAAATAAAAAAGACAAAAAAAAAAAGGAGACAGTTTACCTTTCCAATGACGTTTGCATTTTCTTTGAAATTTTAGAAAAAAAACAAAAG